TATATGTCAGACATTACTATTTCACTTAATGTATCTTAGAGAGATTTTCTTTATGAGCACAAATAAAGGTCTTATTTACTTATTTACAGATGCTTAATATTTCATTGAAGAACATACCACATTGTGCTTGGCCTTGAATGATGAACAATATTTAGAAAATTTGGAAACAGGGGTGTTATAGGACAGTCAGGAGGTAAAGCAAAAGTAACAGGTTATGACTACATACCTTTCACTAGCTAAAGTTTAAAAGGCTGACCCCTCTGAGTATTAGCAAGGATGCGGAACTATTGGAATGCTCTCACACACTGCTGACGGGAGTGTAAAATGGTGTGATCATGTTGGAAAACAGTTTAGTGATTTGACGATTTCTTATGAAATTAAACACACACCTGCCATATCATTGAATTAATAACAACATATTTGCACACTGACTTGTCCACAAATGTACATAGCCTTATTTACAATAGCCAAAACCTGGAAACAACCTAGTGTCCATCAACAAGTGAACGAATAAGCAAGTTTTGGTAAATTTATACAATAGAATACTATTCACCAATAAACTACCAATAAATTCTAACTGAATAAATTTCAAAATAATGTTGCAAAGAGTACATACTGTATGATTTGACTTATGTAAAACTCTAGACAATGCACATTATCATGAACAAAAAGCAGATAAATACATGAGGATGGAAGTAAGGGTATGGGGTGAATTACAAAAGAGCATGAGGAAATTTTGGGGGATGATGAGTATGTTTATTATTTTGTGATAGTTTCACGGGCATATACATATGTCGAAACTAATCAAACAATACATTTTAAATATCTGCAGTTTATTATAGTAAAATATACCTTAATAAAACCGGAGAAGAAAAATAAAATAATTGTATGTATTCAAAACAAAAAGATTAAAGCACTCATAATAAACTAATAGAAAAACTAAAACTTTTGAATGTTCTAATACAGTTGAGTATGCATGCAAATACAGCATAATGCTAAAATAATCTAAAAATCATTTGCATATAGTTTCTGTTTTGTGGTTTTCCTTCCTAAACTAAGTATGTTTACAGGAAAGGAAAAAATCTTTCTTCCTAGTCTTTTATGTTCTCTGGTGTCCCTGTAACACAGAGAGATCAATAAAAGAAAACCATACAGAAGTTTGTTAACATGTATCTCATACAAGCATGGGAGAGACTTGGGGAAAGAGAAAGAGTAACCAAAAAGTGGCTTGGAACTTCTGCTTATACAGCATTTTCAACAACAACAAAAAAACAATCCACCTGCAGGGAAATGACAAAGTGAAGGCAGGTGGCTTTTGGTTTCCAATGCAATGAACTGTGGGAAGGTAAATATATGCGAGGGAACTAACGAAGTAAAGTTTGTTTGCAGGTTCCTCTGGTGCCAACTCTGGGCTGGTCAGAGTCTAGGATCATCTCCAGTAAAGGGGAATTTATGTTCTGCTTTTATGCAGAAGAGATGAAGTGTAGAAAAAGCTTTGCCTGCATTTGCTGTTTCAGCTCAAAATGATTGTATCTCAAAGAGGCATATTTTAGGGTGACATTCTGGTTTCCTCCATCTTCATTATTCGGTTGGGGAATTTTTTCCTTTTAATTGCTTTGTTGAGTCATTTAATATATACTCACTGGATAAGACAATTTTTTCCTTATGTAGAGATGAGAAAGAGCTTGATCGATGTATGTGTGTACATGTTGTATGCTTTTCAAAGGGGGACTTGTGGAGAGAGACTAGTAGGGATGTTTTTATTCAGAGTCATTGCTCTTTCCCTTACACCAGTGATTCTCATACTATTCTGGTCTGAGGATCCATTTTGCTCTTAAAATGTATGAAATGTCTCAAAAAACATTTGTATATCAATAGCACTTAATGTATTAGAAATTAAAACCTAGAATTAAAAAACATTTATCAATTAATTTTTAAGTAATAAATTTATTGCACGTTAATATAGATAACATACTTTTAGAAAAATATATTTTAAAAAAATTTAGTGAGACGAAAGGCATTGTTTTCTATTTTTGCCAATCTCTCTAATGGCTGGCTTAAAAGAAGACAGCTGGATTCTCCTATCTGCTTCTCAAGTGTTGAAAATTTTTTAGTGTTAAGTTATAGTTAATAAGTTCAGTAATTAATGCGTGTAAAAAGCTATTTTTTTTTCAGGAACTGAAGGTATGAGACACCCTGACTCCAGGAGACCACAGGCAATTCAGTCTTTGTGCCCCAGGAGGACTGCAAGCAATCGAGATGCTATCTGAGCCATTGTGATCCAGGGAGAGAATTCTGCGGCCCAGGGTGCAGATAAAGAATCATAGGTCAACAGATGAAAGGGTGCTAAAAAAATTGCCAGACTTCAGCTTTAATTTTTCCTGAATTCCAAACCCTTACCTATACTTTTCTTCTCCTTATAAAAAAAGGTCAGGTTGAGATGAGATGTAAAGTGTTCTTTTGGGATACAAACCTGACATCTCCTCAGACTGCCATCCATCTGAATGAAGCACCCATGCAGATTCAATCCTTGTCTCCACTTACTGGTTCTGGTCATGACAGGCAGAAACCAGAAAACACTGACTCTTCCGGTTTCACTTCATCATTTAATCTGTTGTGACACCAGATATCACATAGCCTCCGGAAAACTCCACTGTACAATCATGAGACTATACAAGTGAAAAACAAATAGCGTCTTAGTATTGTTATGAAATGGTTTTCAATTCAAGCACTTCAGTGAAAGGGTTTTTATTGGCCCAAAATCTCTTCTCTTGGGGAGACTTTGAGCTCATGTCTTGCTGGACCACATTTATGTTCCAGCATGCAACTGAACAGCTACTCTGTTTTATAAGAGTACCATTGAAAGAGCGTCGACAGCTTTTCAAGTTTTACAAAATATTTGCCATGTCAAATAGCTGGATTCTCAGAAATTCTAGCCTGGAAAAAATGGATATGAGGCCAAAGATTACAAGGAATATTTATGTATCTAATTAACATTTGTCCCTAAAGCCATAAAGGATCCAAGTACATCTATTATTGGATTTTTAAAAATCCTTTCTATGGCCAGACTACTCTGAAAATGGGCCGACTAAATAGAACACCTGGAGTTGCTTTAGCCATCAAGGGAGCAGTCGCCTGGCCACATTTTTCTTGAATGACAACAGTTTCCAGTGCTTTCCTAGACAACAAGTTAGTCATCAAAAGTTCTTTTTGGGCAGAACATAGTCTTCCTGTCATGCCCAAATCAGTTAATTTAATGTAATTATGCAGCAGAAAACCACTATTGTGTGTAAATGATACTGTTCCTAGCTGCAGAATTTGGTAATTGGTAGTGACTGTACTTCCAGAAAGGGCCTAACTTCATTTAATGTATAAATTACATAAAGCCTATATATGGAACAAAAAAGTCGGTATGTTTGGAGTGAGCTTGGGTTCTTCAGGTTAACTGCATACTTTTTTATAAAGGAAAAAAAAAAGAGCAAAATTCCAATGGCAAAAATCCCTCCTTTCGCACACTCCAGAGTTCTTTCAGATGGTTTCTGTTTATTTTTTATTTATTATTTATTTTTTAAATATATTTTATTAATTATGCCATTACAGTTGTTCTATTTCCCCCCTTCATTCCCCTCCACCCTGCACACTCCTCCCCCCTGTTCCCCCCCTTTAGTTTATCACCATGTGTCTAAAGTTCTTTAGATTCCATATTTCCCATACTATTCCAGCCCTCCCCCCTATCTATTTTCTACCTACCGTCTATGCTACTTATTTTCTGTACCTTCTCCCCAGTTCTCCTCCTCCCACTCCCCTGTTGCTAACCCTCCATGTGATCTACATTTCTATGGTTCTGCTCCTGATCTAGCTGTCCTCTTAGTTTGCTTTTGTTTTAGGTGTGGTTCTTAACATTGTTTCTGTTTCCATCCGTCCTTGTGTAACTGCATCCTGCCACTGCAGAGCAGGAGACAGGTGATCCGTAAGTAAGAAATGCTGTTCCCGAGGGCTGTGTGCAACTAGGGGTCAGATTTGGATCTGAAGTATTCAGCCTGGTCGTAAAGGAGACTTGACTTGTGTGAACCACAAGCGATTGATGTGTTGTACAACTGTGTACCTGAAACCTGTATGAAACAGTGTCACCCAGATACATTTTTTAAAAAAGAATTCAGCCAGTTGCAGTCAAGGACACTTTTTGCTGTCAAGCAAATGGGTGGTTGTTTCCATTTTGTTTGATTAAATAACTTTCTCAAGAAAGATATTAGACATTAATAATTAGATGTTTCCCTAGAAAAATATAATGGAATTGATTAAGTGTTTGGTATTGTCTAGTAAACTAACCTGTACTAGAAAAAGAGGTCTGGCTTTTGTCCTCAGCTTCCTGAAATGAGTGTTTTTGTTTGTCTGGGGCACTGGGCCAGCCAGAGAGTTGCACTGTGAAATGGTTCTAGGTTTCCAGTCATATATAGTTGATCTCTTGAGGGGCTGGAACCTGAGATCACTTCCTGGATGAGACCCAGGAAAGACTTTGGATACCAAGGCTTGGCTAAACTTCCTTGGTTGGTTATACTCAATATGTATAGTCAGTCACACATCAATCCAGGAAAGTGACAGTGTGATGACTTCGCAGGGGTAGGAAAATCGAAGTGCAGCATTTCATACTTGCTTAGCCTTTGCCCTATGTACTTCTTTTTCCTTGCCCGACTGTAATCTGTGTCCTTCACCTCTATGAAAGCATAACCACAGTGTAATAGCTGTTCTGTGAGTTATTCCAGGAAATTATCAATCCTAAAAGTTGTCTTAGGAACCCTAAACTTGTAACTGATGTCAGAAGTTAGGGTAGCCTCTCTCTCATTGTCCCCTCAACCTCCCCCTCTTTTGCAAATCTGAAGATTTATTATCAGAATGAGTAATAGAATTGATTCTCTGAAATTGTTTTAATATGGTGCAAATCTCTTCATTCTCAGAATGGTATGCCTACTTACCTGCCAAAATGTATTTTGAAAGGAAAATAAAATTAGGAGTGCTTCACAAATTTGCACATCACCCTCGCTCAGGGGCCATGCTAGTGTTCTCGGTACTGTTCTGATTGTAGGGTATGTGCTGCTGAAGTGAGCACCGAGGGCAGTCTTTACGTCGACTGTTTCTTCTAACTTCTTAGCTGGTTAAACTCCCATAGGTACAAATGCGCATCTATCTGTACGTCCGGCCAAAATCCCTACCAACTCAGTTTTACTACCTGAAATCTATCAATTCTGACCTTTCTGAATAAAGTGCAGGCTAAGACATTTCTCCCAACATTTTGGTGAGGAGAAATCATATCAAAATGAAGATTAAGGGCAGGACGGGGAAAGAGGATATAGGACATTCAGAAAGATGTTCATTGAGGTACTTACAATATGAGTGAATAGAGGACTGATTATATAAATTATGATATTCCATATAGTGGATATCATTTTAAAACTCAGACAAGTGCTTCTGTGCTAATATAAAAAGATCTTTAAAATAGTTTGTTAAATTTTGAGGATGTCAGATAGGACACAAAAATGTCTAGTGTGGAGCGAAATTCAGATATTAATCCCAATGCTAGACTTCCTAGAGGATGTAAAATTTCTGGAATGCCAGGTACAGTTACGACCTGAGGAAAACCTGGAGGTAGGAACTGATACGACTGGACCCAGGGGAATGCTCTGCTTTCAATATTTCTCCTCCTGCTACCTCAGCAGTGTCCTCCCCACATCCATCAATGCTCTCTCTCCTCCACTGCGGTTGCTGCTCTTATACCTCTGTTTCCTCCTCGCTCAGGCTCTCCTTCAAAATGCCCAGGCCTAGGAGGAGATCCACACTCTGCTCCCTGATGCACCACCCCCAAGCCCGGCTCACCCTTCACATCCATCAAAGCCCCTGACTATACAAGCTCTTATGTGGAGCTTTCTTGCCTCTGAAGTTCTTTTATTGCCTGACCACCAACTCTGTACTCAAACATACGCATTCATGAATTTTGGTAATGTTGGGTAGGTATATACTTTGTTTCCTCAGCTGGAAGTTTAGTTCTTTGAGGACAAGAGCCATAAATCGTGTTTCTTTGCATCTATCAATACCTGGTAAAGGGATCGTAGGTAACAGGTGTTGAGTAAATGCATGGTTCACGATTGATGCAGGCCCTATTCTGCAGAGCTCCAAGAGCAAATGAATGAGAGCAACAGCACATCCATAGTTCGTGTAATAAAGGGTCTCAGTCTGCTTGTTCTCATTAAGGCAGTGAATAGATGATGGGCCAGCTTGAGTAAGCACATTCTGCTATTCACCTAAAGTTCCTTTTCACGGGGACATTTGCGGTAAAGCTCTGAGCTTAGGACTGCCAAGATCAGAAAGCACATTAGCCAGTAGAGAACATCACAATAAAAGTGAGATGGGAAAAATATGCCTCAGAGCAAAGAATGCAGTGCTCTTGCTTTAGGAAGTAAAATTTAAATCGCTAGTTATGGATAGTCAATACTTCCCTCTAAACCAGCACCAATGTTAGGGTCAGCTTCTTGGGTGAGAGGGCTGCAGCCAACCAACATTTGCAGTTCTCTTCCCCTTCCTGGCTCACCCTTTGAAGGTGGGGGGCCTCATGACTCACGTTAGTCAACAAAATGTTAGTGGAAAAGATGCATGTCACTCCCAAGCAGAAGTATTTAAGAATCAGTAGGCAGCCCTGGCTGCTATGGCTCGGATTAAATCCCTGGTCGGGATGCAACCAGCCGAGGTTTCTCTCTCACATCAATGTTTCTCTTCTCTCTTTCTTTCTCTCTCCTGACCTCTCTCTCTGAAAGCAATGAAAAAATGTCCTCGATGAGGGTTAAAAATATTGGTGGCAAGTTCTCCAAGCCGTCTTCCCTTGTAGCATCAATCATAGGAACACATGTTCAGATAGACATGCAACACATTTGGAGCAGGGAGATGGAGTGTATTCACTCAAACTATACTTATTGGACACCAACCATGTGCAAAGCACTGTTAGACACTGGGAATATGCTAGTGCACAAGGCAAAGTCTGCTGTCATGGGCAGGCATCTATTTCTGACTTATATAAATTAGTATTTCATTCAGGCTTTGCCTTGTATTATAAAGGGAAGTAGAAGATGTCAAAATGATGGGGGACTCAAATGTTGGAAAAATTTTTGTTTCAGGTGATAGCTAATAAGCTTAGTAATCAATGTATGTAAAAAGCTATTATTTCAGGAACTGAACGTATGACCCACCCTGACTCCAGGAGACCACAAGCAGTTCCACCTTTGTGCCTCAGGAGGACTGCAGGCCATCAAGATGGCATCTGAGCCATTGTGCTCCAGGGTGAGATGCCCACCACCCAGGACACAGATAAAGACCACTGCGCAGGGCACAGATGAAAGTATGCGGCAGCTTTTACCTAATTAACTTTTTTCCCTGAATTCCAAACCCCTTACCTACACTTTTCTTCTCCTCATAAAAAGGGTCAGTTTAAAATGGAATTTAGGATGGTCTGTTAGGGTACAAACTCACTGTCTTTTCAGATCATCAGCCATCTGAATAAAGCGCCCATAAAGATTCAATCCCTGTCTCTGCTTATTGGGTCTGGTAAGTGACAGGCAGCACACACACTGGCTTTTCCAGTTTCAAAGAAAGCCTACAACATAGACATCCTGAAGTCTGAGACTTGATGGGAGGATTGATTTAAGAACAAGTAGGAGGGGCTAGTTAAAGAATGCTCCAGGGTGCAGCCCTGAGGCAGAGAAGGACAGAGTGCGTCTAAAGAAGAAAAGGCCACTGTGGCTGGACGAGAGAATGTGGGGGAACAGTCAGTCCATCAGGCTCAGGAAACACATAGAAACCACAATGTATGGGCCTTGTGAGCCTTGTTGAAGATTTCAATCCTCATTCTAAAACTTACTATTAACAATCAACAGTCAAGTACCACCCTCCTGTCATAGTTTTCTTGGCCCCAGCAGCCCTTGTGGGTATCACCATGTTCCTCCTGGTTGGGAGAGGCTCTACCAAGTTGGGAGATGAGCACATAACCCTGTCATGAGCTCGCCGAGTGGGGTGGCTCCTCCAGTGCCACCACCACCTCCTGCCATCCCAGGATATCAGGCAGGGCCCTTCAGCAGAGACCAGGGTCTGCTCTGGCTCAGTTGGCAGGAGGGGATTTGTTACAGGTATTGAATCACTTGTGGAATTGCTGGTGTAAGAAATGTCCAATCCTGTAGAGAATTTGTATGAGATTATTTGAGCCAAACTGACAACAATTGCTGGGAATCAAAGTCTCAACGGACTGATGATAACACTACAGAGAATGGCAGTTTTGCAGTTTATTTCGTACATTAGAATCAAAGGAGGAGGCAGAAAGAGAGTTACATGAAATCCATTGGTGGTAGATTAAGAAGGTGAACTAAAACAAAGCAGGAAAATCTCTGAGTTTGGATAAAAAGTAAAACAGATGGACACATACGTCTTTTACACTGGTGGGTATAGGATAGTTAACAATTAACATTTACAGGATACAGACAGGCCAATGAGGAACAAGATAGCAATAGGGGTTCCCTGGTCTCCTGCTTTGTTGGGAGATTGTGCCCTGAAGGGTCTGGAAAAATAGGATTTCTCTGACATTCCAATGTTAGTTATCAAAGATGCAAAGACACAATAGACAGACTCAGTTAAGGTAAAGATTGACCTTTGTCAAGGAAGATACAGGCCTAGGACATGACTGCCCATCATGACTCAATTTAGTTAAGAAGTGTTCATCTGAGCCCATCCTATGTAGTTACTAAAAGTCTCTGCACTTGTAAAACCTGCTCTGCAGGCCATCCCCGAGCTTGTTAGGTTCAGTACGTGGTCCCATTTTCATCCACAGAATCATGGAGAAATGGAGTCTAAGTTGTATTTCAAGGAATAACTCAAAGCCACCGTGCATCGTTAGGCCACCAAGAAAGCGTGCTCTATCACTATCGCAATGCTGCCTGTTGGACCTGGAAGCAGCTGCCCCGGCTGCTGGCTAGAAACCACACACATCAGGAAACTGGATGTCACGTGACCTGCCCCTCCCCCATGGACCTCAGTTGCAAAGTCCAGGCTTGTACAAATGCAAGGGATCTGCGGAAGCTAGTTCACATCCAGCATCCAGCTTCAGGGTAGGCTGGGGAAAGTTTTGAGTATGTAGTTTCTGCAGTAGGAAAAATCCGCTGGAAGAGGGTTAAAAGAGAGTTTGGGTGTATGATTCATGGTATTTGGCACACCACGTATGGTAAGAAGTGAGATCCCCGCTTTTGAATCTTTCAGTTCTCACTTCAGCTCTTTAAAACCCTGTACTTGCCTGGTGCCACTGTCTGTATTTCTATTGTCTTTTCCTCCATCAAGAGGAAATTCACTGGCCCCCGCCTGTGTGGCTCAGTTGGTTGGGCATTGTCCTGAACTGCGGGGTGGCTGGTTTGATTCCCCACCCAGGTCAGGGCACATGCCTGGGTTGTAGGTTCTGTCCCGGGTTTGATTCCTGGTTGGGGCATGTGTGGAAGGTAACCAATGGATGTTTCTCTCCCTCTCTTTATCTCTCCCTTCCCCTCTCTCTAAAAATCGAAAATAAAATAAAATTAAAAAAAGTAAAATCACTGTGCAAGTGTATATTTCTCCACTTCTTCTGCTTTGGTTAAAGCATGTACCTTTCTGTCTATATATTTCTTTCTTTTCTTCTTTTATTTTTTTAATCCTCACCCATCTATGGGAAAAAAACCCTCGTGTTGAAAAGTCTTTCCCTGACCTGGCTGGTGTAGCTCAGTGGATCGAGCACGGGCCAGCGAAGCAAAGGGTCACTGGTTTGATTCCCAGTCAGGGCACATGCCTGGGTTGCAGGCCAGGTCCCTAGTAGGGGACACATGAGAGGCAACCACACATTGATGTTTCTCTCTCCCTTCCCCTCTCTTTAAAATAAATAAATAAATAAGTAAATAAATAAATATTTAGGAAAAAAGAAAAGTCTTTTCCTTACAAATGACTTGATCTATTTGCCTTTCCTGTCTTCCCCTTTAAAGCTCGTTAGTTTTACTTGAATATGTTTTGGTGCTATCCATCCCAGACAGATTTTCCTAGGAAGGCCATTTAAAC